GATTATTATGACCACCTGACGTTTGTAGGCAAATTAGCTATAATTTGGCGCTGAAGTTGCTAGAGGGCCGGACCATTATAAATAGGGAAGCGGGTTGGTTGCCACGACAGTAGAAGTGATTGGGAAGATTCGGGGAAACAACGCGATGTAACAGCCTTGGAACGCGGGATGATTGTTGGCGCTCGGAGCCATGGAGCGAGTATCAGCTAAACAGCAGAATTCGTTACATGTTCAGGAGCGGCTCATTGTTAAAGTGTTTACAGACCGGACTGTCAGCCGGAAATCTGGGTCTGAACGTGCGAATTCTGGCCGTCAGCGACTAGTCAATGTTAGGGCAGAACGGGGGAGGGGCAAGACTGGTACAAGACAACAGAAGGGTAACAGTGCCGTGTCAGATTCCTCGCATCACCTTTCATCATCTCGTGGAGTCACCAGGCGGCCCAACGAAGTACTGATGGGGGGGGGAGGGGGGCATAATAATCTGGCCACTCAGTGAATGTATGTATGTATATGTGTGTGTACATGTTGCTATTGGTTCATATACCCCTGAGGCTATCAATGCTTTCGGCTGAAACCACTAACTGTGGACGCAGTTTAAGATTACAACGCTTCTTGTACACCTTCATGTGGTGGCCACACGTCTTCTTCAGAGTCCTTAGATTGAACAGTTTATACTAAAGTCCACATGAAATTATTTGTATATTGCAATCATATCTCCTCTTAGGGGACTCTTCTCTAAGGAAAACAGGGAACTCAGGGTACTCTCTAGTTCACTAGAGACTCTCTCTAGTTCAAATACATCCTTCCTGAGGACTGGTGACCAAAACTGAACGGCATGCTCAAGATGAGGCTGAACCAGTGTTTTATAAAGTGGTAGAATAACAGTCGTATCTCTTGAATAAATCCTCTTTTAATGCAGATTAGGGTCTAACTAGCTGCAGCTCGGCACTGCATGCTATTGCTGAGTCTGTGGTCTAAAAGGACCCCCTTATCTTTCTCCATTCCCAACTTCCTCAGAGGAGCACCTTCTAAAGAGCATTTTGCATGCTCATTCCTAGCTCCCAAGTGCATAACTTTATTTATTTCAATATTGAATCTCATCTTCCATCTCCCACCCTTCAATTCTATCAAAGTCTTGTGTTAGTCATTCTATATCTTGTTGTGAAGTTATTGCCTCACACAGCATAGTTCCTCCACACCAAACTGGTCACACCATGTCTTTATGGAGCTGGCTTTGTACAAAGGGGACAGTCATGGTGGATGAGAAAAGGGTGTTCACCAAACTGGTCACACCATGTCTTTATGGAGCTGGCTTTGTACACAGGGGACAGTCATGGTGGATGAGAAAAGGGTGTTCACCAAACTGGTCACACCATGTCTTTATGGAGCTGGCTTTGTACACAGGGGACAGTCATGGTGGATGAGAAAAGGGTCTTCGCCAAACTGGTAGCACAGATGCAATGCCTCTATGGAGCTGGCGTAAATGTGACAAGGTCACATTTACGGGCCATATGTTAAACAGAATGCATACATTAATCATGGCCAATATGTTCACTTGGAACGGTCATCACTGAACCTGACATAACATTTGCATAATTCTTTTAGCATGATAAATAAAAGTATTTTGGAAGCTGTCATTGCTGAAAGAGATCCTGAAGCTTAGTCAGCTAAATTAATACGATGAGGTGTCATTAAACTGGGTGCGAGAGTACAGAATGCTGAAAGACGTGTTGTCCAGGCTGATAGGACAGTTCTCCTGACTGGGAACAAAGGGTCCCTTGCTATGTAAAGAAAACCTTTAACAGATGTTAGGCCAGGAACTGTTCTGCCAGACAGGTTCGGGGCAATGACATGCAGTACACACCCAGAAAAATCAATATAGATAGAGATATCCCAGAAATGGACAGTACCCAACATATAATGTGCAGAGGAGCCAATAAAATGTACATTCAGTACAGACATGAAACAATCAAGCGAGAAGTTTTAGCGTAAGCAGACACCCTCTACTGGCCTTGACCAAAGACCAAAAAGAACAATTTCGCATGTAGCGCTCACCTCCTAAGGAGCTGCTGGAATAACCCGGGGCATCACTTGTTGTCTATGGGATTTGATCTTTAGCTGCTCCATTAGAATTTAACCGCCCTCTTCTAGTGCTCACAGAGCTGATATCACTCCAGTAATGCAATGCTGAATAACTTGTATTAACA